TGGTGCAGGTCTACAATTTTGTTTCTGGTGTCCTTCGACAGCTCTTTGGTCTTCACCATAGTGGAGTTTGGAGTGTGACTGTTTGAGGTTGTGGACAGGTGTCTTTTATACTGATAAGAAGGTGCCATTGATACAGGTAATGAGTGCAGGACAGAGGAGCCTCTTAAAGAAGAAGGTACAGGTCTGTGAGAGCCAGAAATCTTGCTTGTTTGTAGGTGACCAAATACTTATTTTCCACCATAATTTGCAAATAAATTCTTTCCAAATCAGCCAATGTGATTGTCTGGATTTTTTTTTGTCTCTCATAGTTGAGATCTACCTATGATGCCAATTACAGGCCTCTCTCATCTTTTTAAGTGGGAGAACTTGCACAATTGGTGACTGACTAAATACTTTTTTGCCCCACTGTATATATATATATATATATATATATATATATATATATAAAAGTGCAGAAGCTTTTTGAAGAGCCCCTCGTGCATATGTTCCTCTACTATCTATAGCTCTGGACTGGCATTCGAAGTGTACATGTGAAGACAAGCAAGCAGCCAGTGAAGTCTGAAAAGTAATTTTTAAAGACCAAGTCAGCATTGGCATATTTCTATCCTCATGGGCTCCTTTTAAATCAACAACACATTACTGGGTAAGATGTGAATTTTTCCTAACAGTGGCACCCATTCTTTTTTAGGTAGCAGTAATTATAATTTTTAAGCAGTTGCATTTTCATTATGTTTTAAATCTGTATTTGTTGTAAATAGGAAATTGAATTTTAACGGACATGTAGAGCCTGAAAGAGTTCCAGCAAGTATTACTTCGTTCATAAATTTCAATACAAAGAGCCTCTAAGTTGCTGAGCATGTACAGTATTTCCTTTCGCATAATACATTGGTCTGTACATAGCTATTAAATGACCCCCACTTTCAGGCACTGTCTAAAATGTTGTAGATTTGCATTTCAGTCAGATTTGAACATTAATCAGTATCACAGTACAATGCCCCTTTTTGCTCACTATCATTACATTTAGTTCTCTACATCTATATTTTCTTGTTTTGTTTTTTTTAAATATAAGCATTAATATTTCAATGAATTAATATATTACTTATAAAAAATGTTTAAAGTGCTGTACGCCCTTACATACACCCCAGTAAACTGACTAGCTCCAGGTGATACACAGAGGTGAATCAAAGCCTCCAACATAAGTTGTACCTGTTTATCTGCAGGTTTATTCTGTACAGCCTTCCAAACACACAGATCAAAGGATTTTTCTCAGCTCTAGCAGCAAGGGGCGGGGATCTGTGACATACACTGCCTAGAGATCAGAGCTCCAGTGAAACCTGAAACCTCAGTGGAGGAAACGGCCACCCCTCATCTCTACACAGGCTCACAGGCTCATAGAAAAACATACAAAACTAAGAGTAGGAGTCACCTACTGTGTTCTGGAGGGGGGTGGCTATGAAGACTGCTGTCTTTGGAAAAACTGTCAAAAGTGACAAATAGCAGGGAGGAGCCACACTCAGTGCTTTGGATTAAGATTAGTACACACAACAGAGGGATGTGCTTTGTTCATTTTCATGGCTGAGGTTTACAATAACTTAGTGATAAATAAACGGTCATGGTCCTCTGTAGGCAGAACACAATAGCACTGCAGGAGAGATATTCTTTCCTGCAATCACATCATCTATGGCTTGCTTTATACTACCTATTGTAATGTAAAATAAATGAAAACTCCAACAAGGTGAGTGAGATACCCTCATTATGGATGCAGCAGAAAGCTACACCTGCAGAAATCTTAACAAAGTCCCAGTGAGCAATAAAAAGAGGATGATTTACACCATCACATATGATAAAGCATATAAAGGTGAGTTACACCTCATGTTTGTTCCAGGATCACAACAATCCATTATGCCACAAAATACAATAGAGTCTCCTCTGGAACAAAGTATCATCTGGTCATTTGATGACCTCAGTCTGCAGCTCCATAAAGTAATACTTAAAAAGAAAAGAAGAAAAAATAAAGCCATTGCTCCAATATTTCTAAAACACACAAATATTAAATATTACAATAAGAATGGAAAGGGCACGTCTATAACCTGGAATGTGTTTGACTAATCTCAAATTGCCTCAAAATTAACAGCAAACCATTCCATCTGTTGAAATCTACATTAAATGTAACAATACACTGTGCATGGTACGAGAGCTGTACAAAAAAGACTGAAACTCCATTAGAAAATCTCCTGAGGATTTCAAATACGTTACGTCTGTTATATCAGGCAGCCAGGTTTATATGGGCCTGGCAGTGAGCCTTGTGGAGGTACCTAATAAAAGAAAATACACGCTTCAATAGGCTCGTGTGGTTTCAGAAATACTAGCACCCGCAGGTTGAGTTACCGACAAAACTAAACTCGATTAAAGCCATAATACTGTGGGAATACATGCCAAGGTACTACAGAGTTTTAAAGCCAATAACATTGGCTACAGTAATCCAAAAATGATGTACAGAAGAGATCATCAGCACCTCATAGTAGTATTTAATTAAAAGGTCACCCTTTATTCTACTATGAACAAAAAATGTTAAAAAGGGATCAAATGGTCCAAATATACTTGTGATTCCTTTTGTAACTTTTTTTGTCATAATAGAATAGAATAGGTGAAAAACCTTCTGTGCGGCAGCTCCCTTCCAGCCCGCCCCCCATACTTACCTGAGCCCGATTCAGCAATGTGCACAAGAGCAGCGGCTCTAACCGATGTCTCCCTCCTCACTGGTCAGCCATTGGTTCCCGCTGTTGTCAATCAAATGCTGTGACACGGGAGCGTGGGGGGCGGAGCTGACCCACCCACTCTGTATCAAAGGAAGCAGACAAGGCGGCTAAAGCGCGAGCCCATATGGGTGCCCCCATGGAAAGCGGATTTCCATGGGGCGCCAGCCGAAGAGGAGGGGCAGGGAGAGCTGGCAGGGGACCCCAGAAGAGGAGGATAGGGGCTGCTCTGTGCAAAAGCATTGCAAAGAGCAGGTAAGTATAACATGTTTGTTATTTTATTTAGAAAAAAAAAAAGGTTTATTATCACTTTAAAGTAAACCTGATATGAGAAATAGATGGGCTTTCATTCTACTGAGAAAGATGTTTTCCTGGTTGTAATGTTAATCTCTGGGGTTCACTTATTACAGGCCAACAGGCTATTCACTTTGCAGGGAATTTGGGGTTTACAAGGGAATCTTAGTGAATGTGGTGAAAATTCACTTTGCAAAAAATACCACATGCATGAAAAAAAAAATATTTTTGCTAGCCAATGAATGATGAAAGTCAGCAGAACTTAAAAGAGAAGTATGGACTTGTGAAAAAAACAAAAATTTATACTCACATACTTTAAGTGGATGTAGCATCGATCTGATGCTGCACCTGTCCCACGCCAGCTCTGCAGCAAGAACTGAGCGATCAAACACCACTGATCGCTCAGTTCTCCCCCTCTGCTCTGAGCAGAGAGCCATGACTGTCAGTTTTCGGCTCTCTGCTCTGCCCCTCCAGTGCTCACTGGAGCACTGGGCTGTGGAAGGGGGGGAGCAGCTGGCTCAGGCTCTTGGCTGTTCACTGAGAGGCTGAGCAAGGTGCCGGTCCAGGCTTCTGGGTGGATCCTGACCATATGGTCTGATCTTTCCCGAGCCTAGACCAGCTGAAAACGGGTCACAAGAGAGCAGAACGAACTGCCCTCCTGTTACCTACAGGAGAAGTATAACCAAAATAGCTTTGTCTATAATTCTCCTTTAATCTCTATCACTAAGCTAAGGGAAAATTGTCTTGCCAATTTAACAATTTGCCTTTTGTAAATCCCTGTGTGTCCCTACACTGTATTCATTAATAAAAACACACAAACCCATAGCTTAGAAGGACAAGGCACTCCTTCTCCTTCCCCCTTCCTTCTCCAAGGTAACAGACTGACTGGAGACTGCACTGTCTCCTGCAAAGATCGGAAGTTCAGGGAAGCAGCACTGAGAGAGAAGGAGTCAGTAGCATTGAAAGCTGTAAACTGCAAGTGCTGGGGTAAGAATTTAATCAAAAACTTTACAGTGGAATGTTCATTTTATTGTGCTTAATGTGTTAAGCTTGAAAATGCTGAGGGCTTAATACTACTTTAAATTTGACTGCAAAAGAGGAAATACACTTTAACGTGTATAGTGTTTCTATATCCATGTGCATGCCAAACATAATTGCTCATTTACTCATCCAACCTAATAAAATAATTTCTCTAATAACAGACACATTCATTCATTAAACACTGGATTGCTTCTTTTATATGCCTTGTTTTACAAACATAAGTCAGCATTAACCTGAATAAAAATACTATACTGCTCAAGTAGTACATAGCAGAGATTGTTATACATAAAATAAAATCAGCGATATTCTTTGCGGGCTGCTCTTAGCTGCAATCTCCATGTGATGAATCAATTAAAATACTCCTTCCTGAGAACACTGATCTTTTTTGTAACTGTGTCCCATATACTGGGGAGTGCATAAAATACTGAACTTGGCATTTCTAATGTGGCCAGCATTTCATAATAAACAAAGACAGCCTGCATCATAACTTTCAGTATTCTGCTTTAAAAAGATATGTACAGTAGCTCTGACCTCTATATGTAATAGTAAAACTGTACATATACTGTTCAGAAGTCCTAGGTATGTAATAGGCTATGGGGATATTTACTAAAGGCAAATAAGCTGCTCACTTTGCAATTAGATTTTCACTATGCAAAGGAATTTTTCCATTGCTTAGTGATTGTTGTAAAAAAAATACCTTGCAAAGACTCAATCAAGGAAAATGCAAGGAATTAAAAAAAATCAGTATTTTGCTTGCATGTGATTAGACGATGGGAGTCAGCAGAGCTTCACTTCATTCACTAAGCTAAGGGAAATTTACCCAGAAAAGTGAATAGCCTGTTTTCTTTTAGTAAATTACCGTATTTTTCGCTCCATAAGACGCACTTGACCATAAGACGCGCCTAGGTTTTATAGGAGAAAAACAAGAAAAAAAATATTCTGAACCAATGGACTGCAGACACAGTACAGGAAATGATCAGAGACTGCAGACACAGTACAGGAGATGACCAGAGACTGCAGACATAGTACAGGAGATGATCAGAGACTGCGGACATAGTACAGAGATGATCAGAGACTGCGGACACAGTACAGGGGATGACCAGAGACTGCGGACACAGTACAGGGGATGACCAGAGACTGTGGACAGTACAGGAGATGACCAGAGACTGCGGACACAGTACAGGAGATGACCAGAGACTACGGACACAATACAGGAGATGACCAGAGGCTGCGGACAGAGTACAGGGGATGACCAGAGACTGCGGACATAGTACAGGAGATGACCAGAGACTGCAGACATAGTACAGGAGATGATCAGAGACTGCAGACACAGTACAGGAGATGACCAGTGACTGAGGACACAGTACAGGGGATGACCAGAGACTGCGGACACAGTACAGTGGATGACCAGAGGCTGCGGACACAGTACAGGGGATGACCAGAGACTGCGGACACAGTACAGGAGATGACCAGAGGCTGCGGACAGAGTACAGGGGATGACCAGAGTGTCAGGGACTGCGGGTCTTGCCGCGGTGCACAGGTCTGCGCATGCGCAGATTGCCTAGGGGCACTAATGTGCAGGCACTAGGACCTGGGTGGCGGCAATTGCGGCCGCGCATGCGCACTCGTGCACACGGGCACGCGCCTGGCACCAATGATGATGCAGGGCCACTATTTAAACTGACCAGGCGGTGATCAGGTTGCTGCAAGGTCTAGTTCCTGTACCTGTGTTTCTGAAGTGTGTTCCTGTTGCCGATCCTGTTTGTCCTGATTTGTGTTGACCTTCTCCTGCTCTGACTCCCGGCTCGTCCCTGACTTCTCTCCTGTGTGTTGCTATATTACTATTGGACCTCCCGTTTGCTGAACCTTGGCTCGTGACCCGGCTGCTCTCTGTCTACTGCTTGGTACCTACCTGCCTCCACCGTTACCGACCCAGCTAGTCTGACTATGCTCATTCCTGAATGTCATCCATCCCGCCCGGGACCTGGACTTGTCAGCCTCTTCACATCAGGCTCACCCCCGGCACGTACCCTCGGCGGGACCCCTCTACCACAGTTGGGTGCACTCAGGGGTCGCGACCTGGTTTCAGTCTTGCACCAAGTCCATCCCCACCATCAGGGGCTCTGGTGAAAAGGCAGACTGGGACTTAGACTCCACGTCCTGGGGAATCCTGTTCTGTGGATCTCTGCCTGACACAGAGACTGCGGACATACTACATCATATAAAGTCCCAACAGGGCCCCTCCACCCAGAATATCAAATGATCTGACACCATACATCAAGGAAAAGGACTACAACTCCCTATAGAAGGCGGGGGGCACACTAACTGAGCTCCGAGGACAGGCCACACCAGCAGATAGGACTGGACTGCAGAGCAGGGAGCACACTATGGACATATGCCAGGAGCGGGGAGGAGCTGTAAGGACAGGCCACACCTGCAGACTGGACCGAACTGCAGAGCAGGGAGCGCAGTAACCACGGTACATGCACATGCCAGGAGCGGGGAGGAGCTCCGAGGACAGGCCACGCCTGCAGGGCGGACAGGACTGCAGAGCAAGCCTGCTGGGTTCGACGAGGGGACTGCCTGCTATGAAGAGCTGCGTGGACACATCACTGAGACAGGGGGCTCAGATAAGGTGAGGTGAACTTCAGGGACAGGCTGCAGTGGAATGGGACAGCTGCAGGCCCTAACACGGCGGCGATGACAGGTGGAGGCCTGGTTAGTATTCTCTCCATAAGATGCGCAGACATTTTCCCCCATATTTTTTGGGGGAAAAAAGTGCGTCTTATGGAGCGAAAAATACGGTAACTCTTTTATGTCAGGTTACCAGCTGTATAGTAACAGCTAACAGAAGCATATTGAAATTACTGAATTTTTTGCCCTCATTTGAAGTATTCTGATGTCTTTTTTACCATCTAGCTGTAAATTACAGAGCCAGTAAAATAAATCTCTTCAATTTATGAAAGAAACACTTCATATTGTGCTAATCACAACTCCCCACAGACACATGAACATAAACTATACACCCACATGAGGAAAAGCAGCATGAATAATAGTAAACAAGGGTCTGTACATATAATGAAATACAATGGACCATTTTATATGAGTAGTAATTATTTATGAAGTTGTTTAGAGCCGCTCCTACTCATGTTACACTTATTATGGTAGGACTGTTCTCCTTTACTTTGGACTTTAAGCAGCTAAAAATGGCAGAAAGGAAAAGACTTTCACTATTATGGCATAAATATGCTGAATTCCATAGTAACCTATAAGTTATTTTGATTTTGCTACTTTCCTCATGCTCTCATGAAAGTACCTGTAAAGCATTGGGTCGTGTTAGATCTTCTCCTGATCATTGCTTAAGCACATGCTGACTGAAGGTTATTTAAGCACAAAACAATCTTACTTGGCCATAACTGGCCTGTGTACAGCTAGTTTTACTGGTAAATTTGTTCTATGTGAAGGACTTTAGCTTGTCAACCAGTGCCCAGTCGGTGGTTTTTAAGAAAATCAATGGCTTTAAAAAAGATACATTATATAGCCCACAGTTGATGGACATCTGAACCATTACACCTACCTATATGGCCAAAAGTATGTTGACACCCTTTCAAATGATTGACTTCAGGTGCTTTCAGTGAAGGGCAAAGTTGATGCGATTGCATACAGTACAAAGACAGGGTACTGTTGATACCACAGCATACAAAGATATTTTAGACAGTTGTGCACTTTTACCATTATGGCAACAGTTTTGGGATGGCCATTTTCTGTTCCAACTAGACTGTGCCCCTGTGCACAAAGACAGGTCTGTAAAGACATGGTTTGATGAGTTTGATGTAAAGGAACTAGAGTGACAGAAACAGAGCCCTGACTCAACCTCATCAAACACTTTTGTCAATTAGAATACCAATTGCGAGCTAGGACTTCCCATCCGATATCAGCACCTGGCCTTGCAAATGCTCTTTTGGTTAAAAAAGGAACAAATTCTCACAGACACATATTCAAAAACATGGAAATAACTCCCAGAAGAGTGGACGGTGTTTAATTAGCAAAGCTCCATATCAATGTCCATTGTTTTGAAAAATGATGTCCAGCAAGTTTATATATGTGTCGACAAACATTTGTGTATATACAGGGACATTCTATGAAACTTCAGAATTCCATTCTGCCTTGGCAAATGTTGGCACAGGTGACAGATTCATGTACTTTTTGGAAACAGGTCAATGAATTTGTGTAAGCAACCGCATTAGGAGGTGTAAAGAGGCCAGAGCGTCCAGTGAAAAGTGGGAAGACGGAAGGGTAGCGCAGCCAACATGACCCACTGCTACACAGTGTACAGAGACAGGAACTCTGTCTGCCTCTGTACACCCTCATATAGTTGGGTCCTAATGGCCTCCAGTTTTGTTATCTACAAACTGGAGATAATAATTTTTTAATTTGATGCAGTAATAGTGCCACTTTGTAAAAGTGGCGGCAGGGCTTTTTGAATCTGGCACAGGACATTTTGCCAGAAAAGTGGCGCTAATACTTTACTGAATTCCCCTCGCAATGTGTGCCAGTTTCAGCAATATATTAAAAAAAAATGTGTTCCATGATAGGTATCCGGAGCATCCGGAGTTCTAATCGATTTTATGTCAATAAGGTCATAAGATGAGGGGTAGTGACACTTCTTTGCGACAAGGATCATTTTAATCTGCAGTCTTAAATTCTATTTTGCAAATAAAAAAAATATTTTTTTTTTGTCTTTTTTTGAGCTGGGTGTCTGAATATCAAAAATGTACAGGAAGCTCCTTTTGGAACAGGTTTCTAAGTTGTAATGTGTATCTATCTCAAATTTCTGAGTGTTCTATCTATGAGTTTTTTAGTTTTTTGGTTTCATGGTGCATAATTCACTAAGCAAGATGATTTGCAGCTATGATATCTGGCTAGTGGCTTTGATAATTCTATACAACATTCTATGCACATGTATGAGTACCCTTTGATTACACCAACTGAAATCGTGCTGGCAAGAAAGGTGTGCTTTAAAAGCCTAAAGCATATTTCCAATTTCACAGTCAATTTTGAGAAAACCCCACTATACGTCTGTTATGTGTTCCCATTCACACAGCATGCCTACATTTTTCAAAATATTTCCTACCTTTTAGATGTTTCTCAGGGCAAAGTGTCATGGCTGGCTGCAAATTTTTTTGAACAATGTCGAATGAGTCTGTCCAAAGTCTGTCATCATTAACATACAAGGCAAGACACCAAACTCCTAAACCTTTAACTCTTTGCTAGGGCAGATAGTGTTCAATATTAGTTACAATTGATAATTAAGATCTGCCTGCACAGTACAGACAAGGTTAATTTTGGCAAACACACAGCTGCCCACCCCCCTTGTAAACAAAGAGATCTATGTAAGATTTTTCCTTTCTGGAGAGTCTAGAATAGAGCATTTAAAAAAGTAAGCTGCGATTTTTAAATATTTTTTAATAGATGCTACGTAATTGAGAACATGTAAGAAAAAATAGGTGTTATTTCAAAAAATATGTAAAACGTTGATAGTAAGATCTGAAAAAATATACACAACTAGAAAAACTACAATTTCTGGGGAAATTGTGTGAAGTGTTCTTGCCTCCACCAGTAGTCTACAACTCACACTCTAGCTTTTGTCACTCTGCTGCCTGCTCACACACCTGGGTTCCTATGGCAACTCACTCTACAGCAAAGGCAGAGAAGAGCGGTTAAAAACAAACTGCTCCAACTTGCTCACTTCACTGGCGGTTGCCATATTCAAACGGTTGTAGTTTAACAATTATAAATCCTACACTGAAGAGCTTTATATTGTGAGAATCACAAGACCCAGACCTACATTTTGGTGCATAGTATGTCTCTGAAATATTAAAAAATAAGGGACAGTCGCAATTTAGATATTTCCCTTCAAATTTGAGGTGGCTAGAGTGGAGTTTCAATGAATGTCAATGGGCAGCGTGAGTTGCAAACAAATGGTCATATTGTGAAAATTATCAGGACTATGGCTTAGCCGTGGACATTTTTAGTGGCAGCAGGGATAGCTGAACGTTCTGATATAAGATTTGTGTAGGCGGGCTTGAAAATGAGGGAGTGGTGGCAGTTTAGAAATCATGTCCTGATTTTTCAGCTCACACTCTAGCTTTTGTCAGCTCCCACTCTAGTTTTGAACATTCCGCCATTCATTCCTATGGGACCAATTTCACCACAAAAACGCCGATATTTCGTGAACCATTCGGCGAAACTTTCCACAAAGTAATAGCACAACAATCGGGAACAATCTGCACGTTTCAGTATATTACTGTCTATGTAGTGTAAAAACTGTGGGAGGAGTTAGGATGGTAAATTTGGCTAT